TCCTGTTCTGCTTTAAATATACTACTTCATGTCCTCTTATGAAATTGTATAAGCATTTTTGTTGGGTATATTTCTAGGAATGTAATTACTAGATAATAAGGTATTTGTTTACCTTTAAAAGATACTGCCAAATGGTTTGTCTGCTTAGTCCCAGTTGCTTAAAAGTGGTTGTGTTGGCAACTTTTTAAAAAAACAAAATCTGGGCCAAAATAAAGGAGCTCTGTTGATGCAGTGGTTAAGGCATTTGGCTGCAAACCAAATATTGGTGGTTCAAACCCACCAGCCACTCCATGGGAGAACTATGAGGCAGTCTGCTTCCATAAAGATTTACAGCCTTGGAAACATTATGAACAAGTTCTAATCTGCCTTATAGTGTCACTACAAGTTGGAATCAACTCTATGGCAGTGGGTTGGGTTTGGTTTCTTTGGCCAAAGTAAACATCTGTAGGCCACCAGTTTGTCACTTTGGCCTAGTGCATCTTAAGTCTCATGAAAGAAAGCTCTTTATGAGGTAAGTTAAAATCTGAGCAGGTCATCTCTTTCTTAAGACCTTACAGTGTCTCTGCTCTTTGGATAATGGCCAAACTCCTTAGCTTAACATCAAACAACTTGCTCTTTCCTCTGCCTCTTTTCCCTGGTCTTCACCATCTATATCTGCCACTTTGAATTTGCTAGAGGACTCCACATGCTCTCTGACAGGTCTGTATGACTTGGAACATGCTGCCCCTCAGTCTGTGGAAGCCCCTTTCCAAGGTAGGCCAATTTGTATACTTTCTCTCCCCATTAAACTACAAGGCGAGTCCTTGGGATATAAGTTGTGTCTGCAATCTCTTTGGACTCCAGGGCCTATCACAGTGCCTGGTACAGGTCAAATGCCAAATGTACATTTGTGCCACGAACTCAGGGACTTTGATGTTAAATTTTTAAGGTAATGCATGCAGATACAGGGGAGAAAAAAAGAGAGATAAAAGGATAAATTTTACTCCTGTCTCTCCCCCCTTCTACAGTTGTTCTCCCAGAGGGAACCACTAGTACCACTTTCTTGCATATTCTTCCTGAGATATACATTGAAGGTATAAACATACTCATATGGAGGTAGTCCTCAACATACAATGTATTCAAGTTATCACAAAGTGCACTTTTGACTGTTCAATTTTTTTTTGTTTTTTGGTGCATCTTATTATCAATTATATGTACTACAGTGTTGCAGCATGTAATTAGCTGATGTAATCATTCTCAGATGTTCACTTCTAGAAGTTCAACTTTATGATTTACTGTTCAAAACACAGCCTTATAGCAGGCTATGGCATAGTATACAATGAAGTCAGTGTTGGGAATCATAATGGATTGGGCAAAGTCAACTCTAATGACATACAACAATTGAACTACACGTACATATAACAGCCATTACTACTCCAACTTCATTGTTAGAACACTGACAACTTCCTTGTAGAACAGGCCTACAGTGTGATCATATTCATCAGTTGCTAAATTGAAATGAGGTATTCGACCTACATTAGAACAGACTTAGAAAAGTTGTGGGAACAGAACCCTTTCATAAATTGGAGTCTACCTGCATACAGTAAGGAGCTCTGGTGTCGTAGTGCCAAAGGCATCTGACTGCTAACCAGAAGGCTGGAGGTTCAAACCCACCAGCCACTCCTCAGAAGGGAGATTGGGCAACCTACTTCTGTAAAGATACCGCCTTGGAAACCCAAGAAAGTGTCGCTATGAGTTGCAATCAACTCAATGGCAGTGAAGGTTTTTTTTTTTTTTTTTGTATACAATAACTGCTATGGAGAAAATAAGGCAGAGAACGGAGATGGAGTTGCAGTTTTAAACTGAGAGATCAGAAAATATCTCATTGAGTGGGTAATTTGTGCAAAGGCTTGATGGAGGGAAGGGAGTAAGCCATGTCTGTCTGAGGTAACACATTTCAGACTGACGAGGCCATTTGAGGAACAGAAGGTGGAACAGAATGAGCAGGGGTAAAAGCTGTTGAAGGTCAGATCAGAGATGTAAGTAGACAAACTGCAAAGGGCATTATTAGCCACGTTAAGGACTTTGGTCTTTCCTTAATGAGAAAGCACCAGAACATTTTTGATTAGGAATTATAGGATATGAATTGTGGTCTTCAAGAACTCACTATCAGCATAGAGTTGCCTCATTCTCTTTAGCAGTTATACTTAGGGCTTAAAAGGTTCTTAATGACTACATTAACAACCTGCAATATGTAGATGACACAACCATGCTTGCTGAAAGTGATGACTTGAAGCACTTGCTGATCAAGATTAAAGACTAGTCTGCAGTATGGATTATACCTCAACATAAAGAAAACGAAAATCCTTACAACTGGACCATAACCAGCATCATGATAAATGGAGAGAAGATTAAAGTTGTCAAAGATTTTCCTATTACTTGGTTCCACAATCAACACCAATGGAAGCAGCAGTCAAGAAATCAGATGACATATTGCACTTTTGCAAAAGTGCTGAAGAGTGAAGATGTCTTTTTGAGCAAACACTAAGGTGCGCCTAACCCAAACCTTGGTATTTTCAATCGCCTCATATCCATGTGAAAGTTGGACAATGAATAAGGAAGACCAAAGAAGAGTTGATGCTATTGAGTTGTGGTGTTGGTGAAGAATACTGAAAATACCATGGACTGACAGAAGAACTAACAAACCTGTCCTGCAAGAAGTGCAACCAGAATGTTCCTTGGAAGCAAGAATGACCAGACTTTGTCTCACCTACTTCAGTCATGTTGTCAGAAGGGACTAATCCCTGGAGAAGAATATCATGCTTGGTAAAGTGGAGGGACAGCGAAAAAGTGGAAGACCCTCAACTAGATTGAGTGACACAGTGGCTGCAACAATGAGCTCAGGTATAGCAAGGATTGTGAAGCTGGCACAGGACCAGGCAGTGTTTTGTGCTGTTGTACACAGGGTCATTATGAGTTGGTGCTGACTAGACGACCCCTAACAACAACAACATTGCATGCTTGATGAAAGTGAAGAACACTTGAAGCACTTACTCATGAAGATCAAAGATTATAGTATGGATTACACTTCAACATGAAGAAAACAAAAATTCTCACAATTGGACCAATAAGCAACACCATGATAAACATAGAAAAGATGAAGTTGTCAAGGATTTCATTTTACTTGGATACACAATCAATGTCCATGGAAGTACCAGTGAAGAAATTAAACATTTTGCATTGGGCATTGGTCAGATCTGCTGCAAAAGACTTCATTAAAGTATTAAAAAGCAAGGATGTCACCTTGAGAGCTAAGGTGAGCCTGACCCAAGCTATGGTGTATCCAACCGCTTCATATGCATGTGAAAGTTGGACAATGAAGTGAATTACGATGTTAGTGAAGGATATTGAATATACTATGGATTGCCAGAAGAGTAAACAAATCTGTCTCAAAAGTACAGCCACTCTTTAGGAATGATAACGGCTGACTTGGTTTCAGTATTTTAGACATGTTATCAGGAGGGATCAGTGCCTGGAGAAAGGTTTCATACTTAGTAGACAGCAAAAAAGAGGAAGACCCTTAACTAGATGAGCACTGTGGCTCCAACAGTGAATTAAAACATAGTAATGACTGTGAGGATGGCACTGGACTGGGCAGTTTCATTCTGTTGTACACTAAGTAGCTATATGTCAGAACCGAGTGGACTGCACCTAACAACTGACAGTACCATAGTTCTGTCAGTCCTGCCTTACAATCTTTCGGACTCAAGCACTTTAACATTTCTTCCTCTTTAGGAATGTCAGCAGGCAATTTTCCAGTTAGGAACTTTTTCTGTGGTAACCTGACTCAATTCGACCTTTTAAATTTTCTCCTCCATCAAAGAAGCAGGGTAGCATGCAGTCTCACTGGATCGAGAGTTCCCAGCTCAGAACCCCAGAACTTTCCAACTTTAAAAAGCTATTTAGGTGAGCAACTGATTGAAGAAAGGCAGAAGTCAACGGTGGGCGTGCTTCCCGCAAACACTGGGCGCAGAAGGGTACAGCCGGCGCGGGAACTCCTGCGCGCAGCTCTGTGAGAGCCGCTTCGCTTTGGGCCAAGAGACAATCCGCCTGCCATTACCAATCCCTGATGGCACCGAGGATTTAAGGTAAATTATGCAGAAATTGTTGCCCCGAGTTACCCCGCGGAGTAAACCCTACTGTGGCCCTGCCGCTAACGGAAGTGTGTCGCAAAGACTCGTGCCTGGACCGTAGCGCTCCGTGCGGATACTGCTTTCCTGCCCACGACTTCCCCTCTAGCGCCTGCGCAGGTAGGAACCTTGGATAGCTTTTCCTGCCAACAGAGGTGGAGAGACTTTTGCTCGTTCTTGTGTCCCTTGCCCTCTCTTTTTCAGACTACAAGACAAGCTATAAAAGCTCCAACTCAATTTACTCTAGAAGGCAGGCGCCCAAAACTAGGCTTTCCCGGTGTTGTGGGGCCCCAGGTATCCTGGAGGATTGTGGGTGGGAACACCCGCACGGACACGTGGCGGGTAGGCGCCAATCAGCTCACAGACCGCACTTTGCGGCTCGGCTTTAAACAAACTACCAAGCAGCGAGTGCGGCCTCTGGGGCCCCGCCCCCCATTCCCTAGGTCTAGGGCCCCAAGAGACGGCGGGAAGGGGTGGGGGCGACACACGGCAGAGGGCGGGGCGGAGTGGTCGAGTGACGGCCCGCCTCACCTATTCCGGACCCAGGCTGAGGTGCGGACGTGGCGGGGTGAGCCCTGCAGCCAATGGGCATGGGTGGGGGCGGGGGGCGGCCCGGCAGGCGGGAGGGGGAGCCTGCGGCCGGGGGACGCGGGGGGAGGGAGGGGGCGGGCTCCCAATCCAGTTCCATCCGGTTCTCCCACCGCCCCCGCCGCGGGTCCTAGCAGCTCGGGCGGCGGGCGGAACGGCAGTGGCCAGGGAACCCTGCTTCACGAAGACTTTCGGCGCGCCACGGCCTGCAGGCACCCGGCACGTGCACTCCTCGCTACCAAAATGCCCAAAAGGAAGGTGAGCTGCTGTTGCGGCCCACGCACGCCCCCTCTCGTTGCTCCTGGTCTCGCCTCGGGCGGCCGAGCCCTCAAGGACCGGATTCCTCCGCGCCCATACGGCGCCATGCGGCCGGTGGGGTGTGGGAGCCGCTCTGGGCCCGGGCAGCTGAGCTCTCGTCCCCCCGTGTAGGTGGGTGTTCTGGAACGTTCGGCGCCGGCAGCCGCGAGAGCGGAGTGGGAAATTCGAACGGGGCGGCAGGAAGCCGCTGACGTCACGCGGCCGGTCATTGTTCTCCGTGCGGGGCGCGCGGCGACTTTGTGTGCCTATTAGTTTCTCGGCTTCTTTCCACAGGTCAGCTCTGCCGAAGGGGCGGTAAAGGAAGAGGTAAGTGAAGTCCTGTTCATTTTGTCTTTTGGATGGGTTTCATTTTAAACGGCATTACTTTTTCATCTTACTGTTTTCGCATTTTTGTGTTAAAGCCCAAGAGGAGATCGGCGCGGTTGTCAGCTGTAAGTAACCCCAGCCCAGTAGTCATTTATTTTCCCCGGGATTGTAACACACTTCACTCCGTGAAGAAACTTAATACTACTTTGCTTTTCAGAAACCTGTTTCTGCAAAAGAGGAAACGAAGCCAAAAAAGGCAGCAGGAAAGGTGGGTTTTCAAACTTAACTTCAAAATACAATGGTATCTCAAAGGTGGTGGTGGTGGTGATGATGATGATGTGCCGTGGAGTCCTACCCGACTCACAGCGACCGCTCCTTGGGTTTCCGAGGCAGTATCACTACGGAAGTAGATTGCCCCATCTGAGGAGTGGCTGGTGGGTTTGAACCACCAGCCTTCTGGTTAGCAGTCAAGTGCCTTAGCCACTATCCTACCAGAGCTTCCATCTCAAAGGTTACAGTGCTATTTAATATTAGACTTTTTTATATTCTTTTAAAGCGTAGAAATTTAGTAACTTTGTAACAAACGAATTATTTGGGTTAGAATATAATGAATGTAGTCATCTTGATCTACGTGAATATAACTTATACTTATTACCTTAATGCTGCTTGTAGAATTTAGGAAGCTTAAGATGAGTAAGTAAACTACTCACTGTAGCTTACGAGGCAAATTGATTCTTCGTATTATAGCTTCAATAATTAGTGTGTCTGTCCATTTCGTACTTGGTCTCCCAATTTTGCTGGTAACAGCCATGAGGCCAGAAAAGGAATTTGCAGATTGTTGTATATTATGTTCCTAAGGCAAGATAAGGAATCTCATTTTAGGTGGGGGTAGATCTAGCGTCTTGTTCTGTGAGACCTGACAGTATTCTAAAATATTTTGTTTGCAGTTATGTGTTAAACCGTTTCCGGGATAATTTTACCAGCCATTGGGTTAATCATAATGAACTTCAGGTTATTGTTCCAGAGTAGGCCTGTGATTACCAGGTCTCTAGAAAGTAGTTCTTGTTAGATACATGTGTCTGTTTAAAAGTTGGGAAACCCATGTATACCAGTTATTCTTAGATTTTGTGTTGGGGTTTATAGCACTGGAATCTGCTATTGGGCTCCTTTGCGAAAAGTTGAGGTGGTAGTACTATTTAGTACTGTGTAATCATTGTAAGAGTTCGTTTTCTTGACGCTAAAACAAAACTGAACTCAACTGTGGTAGAGTTGGATCCAACTCAATAGGGACACCTCCTTGGGTTTCTGAGGCAGTATCTCTAGGAAGGCGTTCTGGTAGCAGGTGTCAAACCCACCAGCCACTCTTCAGAAGAAAAGTTGGGCAATCACAAAAAACCAAACTCAAACTGTGAGTGGGATCCTACCAATAGCGAACCCCTCCTTGGGTTTCTGAGGCAGTATTTCTAGGAAAGTAGATTGTCCAAGCCACCAGACTCCCAAAATAAAGATAAAAAGTAAAAAAAAAAAAAAAAAAATATTACTTAAACTACATGGAAACTAACGTAAAAAAAAGAAAAAATGAACGAAGTCTCATTTTGAGATCGCTTTAAAGCAAAATATCCAGGAAAAGTTATTCCCCCAGTGGGTAATAGTCATTTTTCCCTCTTCCTTTCCATGAGTGGCCCAACAGGTAAGGCTTCATTCATGTCAGTGTACCTTGAAGAACACATCTGAAGAAAACTGTCTATTAAGCTTTTCCTATGGGAGGTGGGGGGGCTTGTTTCTTTTCTTTTTTCCTCCTCTCTTAAATTTCAGCTAATAAATTTTTGTGTTCATAATAAACGTAAGATTAAAGAATTAACCCTGTTGATTTCTAGTAAACGGTTTCATTTTTTAAGGTTTTATATTTTACACTGGGTAGTTATAATGAAAATCTAAAGAAATTAAATGACAAAATGATTGTTTTAAGTACAGATGCAGATTTAACTTTATCCGGGTAGGAGGGTGGTCCCAAATACGTATTCGTGTAAGTTGTTTATACTGAAGCTATGTTGAATTACATGTAGCATGCCTTGATTTCAACACTAGTGCAGAATACATTCATTGGTATTTTTGTTCCTTTTCAACATTGAATTTTTAAAATCTACTACATATCATTAAGATACTCTTGCTCCAGGAATTGATCGGTACTGATAGAGGTCTTTTATACAACCCACCCATGACCTAATTGTTTAAGCTGTTGCTGTATTACTTATGGGGAGAAAAATTGTTGTTTCTCTTTCCCCGTCGATGGATTATTGGTAATCTGAAAGTATTCTTTTCTTGCTTGAAAGTAGTTTAGCATTTGAATCTGTTATGTTACAAGATACATCATCATACTAACTGTTACACTTTTCAGATTCTCCCAACACTTCAATGAAAATGATAGACTCAAATTTGATCCTTTAGCTACTTTTTATATGATATCAAGGGATTCAGTATAGCAGAATAGTTAACTCTGACCATACAACATGGTGCTTTGTTCAGGTGAATGGTCTTCACTGTGAGGGTAAAAGTATTTTTATGACAGTGGTTTTATTTGACTGATTCTTTTTCATGCTTAATAAAATAAAGAGAGTAGATAGGGTTATGTTGTTGTTGTTAGGTGCCATCGAGTCCAACCCGACTCATAGGTTTGTGTTTCCGAGGCAATACTACTACGAAAGTAGATTGCCCCATCTTCCTTCCGAGGAGTGTCTGGTGGGTTTGAGCTACCAGAGCTCACAGATAGGGTTATACTGGGACAGATTTCCTCCAGCTATTCCACCTCATTTATTCTGAACAGTAGGTGATGACAACATTGGTAAAATAGTATAGCTCAGGTATTTGGTGTAGTCTGCATTATTTTGTCTAAAAAGTGTATCCGGTAACTCAGGTTACATGCAGCATAGCACTGACATTGAAATTAGGAATATTCTCTATAAACTTTCACCTAAATCACAGTTAAAAGTTAAATTATAGATATTATGTATAGGGTCACTCACTGAGTTACTGACTCGATGGCAATGGGTAATCTATATAGCAAATTAAAAGTTACTAGTTTCTGCTTAGACTATACTAATACTTAGAATATACTTTTATTCTGTTGTAGGATAAATCAACAGATAAGAAAGTGCAAACAAAAGGAAAAAGAGGAGCAAAGGGAAAACAGGCTGAAGTGGCTAACCAAGAAACTAAAGAAGATTTACCTGCAGAAAATGGAGAAACTAAAAACGAGGAGGTCAGAAGTGTTTAGGTGTTTACTTGGTTTTTTACTCTGGACAGTAGTTAATAAATTGTATATTCTTATAGACATAATTTGTGTTATGTATAATATTGAGTGAAGCTTTGTATAGAAACCCTGAGTATGGACATACTACTTTTTTACTTTATATGAATAAGATTGTACTTGAATGTCTGTGAGTTTTTGAGAAACTAATTTTAATATAGTCACCATTTCACAGTAACTGATTGTCTATGCTGTACATAAGATGAATCATACTCATGTACATTTTTCAAAAATCTACTAAGTAGCATAAAACTTTCTTTTACATGATACTGAAGTCTTGTTTAAACAAATAATCTACTTTATTCAAATTAGTCTGCAGGCCTCTTGTAATTTGTTAGGATACAGAATCTTTGTTTTGTATTCTGGATAGTGTGTTTAAAAATTTTTTTATAAAATCCGTTGTTATTTACATTGTGCCTTGGCGCATTTTTCCAACTTCCTTTCAAATCAAGTAGTATCTGTTTTTGTTAAATGTTGCCACTTCTCAAAGTAGCCAATTGTTCAGGACTACTACTTAGATCAAGCATATAGAAAGATTGATTTTTATTTTTTAGCTATAAGGAAAGGAGACTGCAGAGTTTTGAGAAGCCACTTTTCTTAAAGTCATCCTTTTGTCTGTTACATTGGCTAAGCTAGAAAAGACAATAGTTTAGGAGTATTGTTATTTTTACATCCTAATTTTATTCACATTGGGTATTATGTAATATTAAGATCACTGCGTGTGTCCATATTCAGTCCCATTTATGAAGGGGAAAAAACTCTAGAACGTGTTACTTATTTTTTAAAACCTATTAGGATATAAAGGAGCCTTGGTGGTGTGGTTGTTAAGTGCTCTGCTGCTAATCAAAAGATGAGTGGTTTGACTCTGCCATCCATTCCACAGGACAAAGATGTGGCAATTGGTTTCTGTGAAAATTTATAGCTTTGGAAATGTTGTGGAACAATTTTCTGTCCTAAAGGGTTGCTGTGAATTATAATCAACTTCATGACAGTGGGTTTGTTTGGGGGGGGTGTTTAGTGTTTTTGTGTGTGTGTGTATATGTGCGCATGTGTGTATTATCTATATAAAATTGAAATTGGGTTAAATGCTAAAGATCTGAGATCATAGCACTGGTACAGATATCAAACATATAATCATTATTTTTCCTTTGATTTGCAGAGTCCAGCCTCTGATGAAGCAGGAGATAAAGAAGCCAAGTCTGATTAATGTTTGTCTACCATGTCTTATCAGTCAGTAGTCCCTGTATCTCCCTTCTTGTACAATCCAGAGGAATATTTTTATCAACTATTTTGTAAATGCAAGTTTTTTAGTAGCTCTAGAAACATTTTTAAGGAGGAGGAAATCCCACTTCATCCCATTTTTTAAGTGTAAATGCTTTTTTGTTTGTTTGTTTTTAAAAAAAGAAATGAAACCATTTGCTGGTTGTTTATTTTTTGGTACAACCAGAAAATAATGGGATGTTGACTTGTGGGAGGCTTTGACTGTCTTGGGTGTCAGCATAACATTCCGGGGGGGGGGGGCAGTTTTTATATCCCATGATACCAGGCTGACTTGATGGCAATTTGGAGTCGCAGTCATGCATTTATATGACTTCAACATTTTAATTGATTCTATTTTCATGTTATTTTGGGTAGAATTGTTAAAACCACTCCCTCATCATGGCTCTCCCTGTCAGAAGTGTGTGTATTCTTTACTATCTCTGCTTATGGTAGTCCAGTTCTCGTAATAACTTTGTTATGTGCTGTGAAAGACTGAAATTTGAGTGTGTAGTGTGTGTGATAGTAAATTGTGAATTAGTGAGACTTATGATTTAACAGCTTTTCAAGAGTTGAATATAATGGTACTTGATAACCTCTTAAGGAAAATTTGCCTCCAAATTTAAAGCTGGAAAGTCACTGGAATTTAGAAAAGAGTCATAACTACATAGAATTTTAGATTTCTGGTACGTACATTAAGAATTGTACAAATTGTTCATAATGTCTCTGTATTGACCCTTAAAACAACCAATAAAATACCAATTATGAAAGGATAATTTCATGCTTATGGATTAAAATCTGGTTTAAATTTTAAAGAGAATATTCAAAATGGGTGTTTGAAATTTTTATGTATATAATTTAAAAGTGAAATGTTTGTGCTGTAATATTTCAGCACCTGCAGTGCACTTTGAAGATGTTTATATGGTTATAGTGGTTTAATAATACAAAATAGCGCATTGTCCCCTGAAGCAAAGTAAATGCATAAATTAATAGCTTTTTCACATGAGGTAAGCTTCGAAAAGAAAAACCAAACTCACTGCCGTCCATTCAGATCTGACTCAGCGACCCCTCCTTGGGTGTCCAAGGCAGTATCAATAGGGAAGTAGATTGCCCAACCTTCCTTCCAAGGAGTGGCTGGTGGGTTTGTATTGCCAGCCTTCTGGTTAACAGTCATATGCCTTAGGCACTAAGCCTCCAGAGCTGCTAAGATAAGCTTACAACTACAAAATAAGCTAGAACTACATCTGAGATGGTTTGTACTTGCATTGTTGTTAAATGCCATTGAGTCATCTCCAATTCATAGCAAACCTATATACAACAGGAGGAAACACTGCTAGAAAAGACAATAGTTCAGGAGTATTGTTATTTTTACATCCTAATTTTATTCACATTGGGTATTACATAATATTAAGATCACTGCATGTGCCAGCTTCACAGTCCTTATTTGAGAATTGTTTTGATGTTTATTTTTTGTATACCATACTTGCATTTTCCTCTCTAAATAGTCTGCAAAGGTTGGATGGCAGCTGTGATGATTTGGCAGTCATGGAAAGGACTTTGCAAAGATTACTAATGGGCATCATTGGAACAGAGTTCAGGCCAATGCATTTGCTGTGTTATTTTGTCTGCTTACCACTTAGAGACAGGAATGCCTTAAAGACCAAGGGTTCACAGAACTCAATAAGGACTGCACCTCAGCAATGACTCGAGCAGAGTTCATATGGAATAGTGAGACATCTTAAAAAGTGTGTTGGCTAGAGGAAAAAGGAAATGCAAGGACTAAAATCCACTGCCACTGAGTTGATTCCAACTCAGTGACCCTGTAGGATAGAACTGCCCTATAGGGTCTCCAAGGCCGTACATTTTTTAAGGAAGGGGACTGCCACATCTACCTTGGAGTGGATGGTGGGTTCCAACAGCTTACCTTTTGGTTAGCATCCAAACACTTGACTATTGTGTCACCAGGACTCCATAAGTGCAAGGACAGTGACTTGAACTGACCCGAAGATGGTTTTGATAACCCCTGGGGGATGGGAAAGGACTAGAAGTAAAGTTGCTGGGTTTTAGTATTTGTTACAATATGGAGGGCCTGAAACTGGTAAATAACTGAGATACGCCTTTGATTCTCAAGTACAGTGATTTAGTGGTAGACTTCTCACCTTTCATGCAGGAGCCCCAGGTTTGATTTCCAACCAGCACATGTCATGGAAAGCTATTTGTCAGTGGTGGCTTTCATGTTGGATAACGAGGTTTCAGTGGTGCTTCCAAACCAAGACAGTCTAGAAAGAAACTGCTGGTGATTTCTAGAGAAAACCCTGTGGGTCACAATGGTCCAGTGTACCAGCATTCATGGGGATGGCATAGGGCCTTTGTGCATGGGTTTATCATGACTCGGTCAACTTAATGGGAGCCAACAATGTTGAGCTGTAGATAAATTGGAACCTAGAACTGAAACATGTTTTTTCTCAGTGTGTACTTTGTTACCAGCATTTGTCTAGCACCTGATTGTTCATAGCAGTTGAAGGGGGGTGGCAGTGGGGTAATCTTGAATGAATTTTAGCACTATATCCCATTTGGCAGTGTTTAGTTGTACTATCCAACCTTCTGACCCTGGGAGTTATGATGTGTGTTTGCATGTCCTATTTTCTTTGTGTTGAACTCAATGCTAATACTGAAAGAATATTTTTCTGAAGAAAAAGTTAACTAGTTTGAGTTTTTGTTTTTGTTTTCCCTGAGTTCTTAGAGATTGATACCTAAATGAAATTATCTTCTTTGTAGAAAACTGAAATGGAAATACTTCCATTCTGCCTGCTTTGTTTCTATCTTATGAGGATGCTAAGTAGCCCCAAAATTGCACGTTATCCTTTTGTGATAAAATGAATCCTCAACTAGTCCTCTTTAGCTGTTGAAGGAAAACAGTTATTTTTTAAATAGGCCACTCTGAGGTATATTTCTGGGATTGGTACTTTATCTCCTGCTTTTTCAGTATAATTTGTTCTTAACACTAAGAGGAGAATGAGCATTTCAATATCAAATACCCTAAAAGTACAAGGAAGATAATTTTTTCAAGTAATGGTACAAATCTTTAATTGGTTTATTATAAAAACCTGTTAACGAGAACCTGGCATTCTCTTGGCTTACCAGGATGAATCCAAAGGTGGACTCATCAGGGGACACAAAGCATAGAGCCTTGTGCCTCGCACCTAGCTTCATGATGTCATGGAAGCCTCTGAGAAAAGTTAGTGTCAGTTGTGGCAGTGTTTGGGAAGAGTGTGGGTAAAAACGCATTTGCTTTGAGGGGGAGAAGGGAGCCTATAGGGATGAGTGAGTAGTGTATGTATAATTTAAGGAAAATTCATACTGGGGGGAAAAAAAACACCCATAATGCACTCAGATACAGCAACTTAAAGATGCATTTTTCTGATGCATCGTTGAGACCCTTTGCAATTACATGATTTTAAGAAAATGGTGCCACATTACGTGCATTATTTAAAAATCTTTATACTGTGAACATTGTCCCATGTTAATGGATTCATGGTATTTATAATAGCTTCATAGTATATCATTTGGAGAACATAATTTGTCAGACATTTAAACTTTTTCCATTAAAACAAGTTTTGTGAAATTAGGAGTAATCTCTGCCAGTCCACACAGATTCTAAGGAAATAATAGCCTATCACAATCCCCAGTTCCATGAGATTGCAATAAAAATAATTGAAAGACAGGAAGTTCCAGAACAGGCTTAAAAAGTTGATGAGTCCTAGATAATAGGAAACAAACTAACAAATTTTAAGTAATTTCAAATTATTAAAGTATTATGTTTAAAAAACTAAATGTAAAACTAAAACCAATTTGGAAGCTAACAGTATTTTAGACATGGTGACTTTTCTTCATATATGTATGGAATATTTAAAATTATAAAGCATTTTCATACCTTCTAATAGTTCACCACATGGCTATGTGGTAATTAGGATATTACTGTACAGTGGCATTTCAGTTCTTTTAAAAATTACGGTTTGTTGTTTGCCTTCGACTTGATTTTGACTCATACTGATCTATAGGACAGAGTAGAACTGTCCTATAGGGTTTCCTAGACTGAAATCTTCACTGGAGCAGATTGCCAGGTCTTCAGGTCTTTTCTCCCAGAGTGGGCTGGTGGGTCAGAACCACCAGCCTTTTGGTTAGCAGTCAAATACTTAACCATTACACCATCAGGGCTCCTTAATTATGGCTTACAAAAGATAATTTTGCCCATTCCCAAACCCAGAACAGTATATGAAACTCCATGTACCAATCAACCAGTCCCAACAGCCATCAACCCATTACCAGTTGTGCCCTATTCATATTATTTTGAAGCAAATGTTATTTTAAATAATATTTATAAGTAGAAAATTAAAGGGGAACAAATATTTGCAATAGAGATATATACTGCCACTGAGTCGCATCCGACTCAGTGACTCCTGGAGTTTCCAAGAAAGTATCACTGTGGAAGTAGATTGCCCAACCTTTCTCCCAAGGAATGGCTGGTGGGTTTGAACCACCAGCCTGCAGCAGATAACAGAACATGTTAATATTTTTATCAGAAGTTTTGCATATTTTATCAGTATTAGGTATAAACTGAATTTAACAAAAAGCTGCTACTTTAAAAAAATCCAGCATGGCTACTTTGACCATTAAAATCACATACTACCTTCCAGATGCTGATGCCACATTAATGAAGATAAAGGCATGTTTTGAAACTTTTTGGTGGCATGGGAATGCACAGTGAGGTGATTAATGATATAAAGGAATTGAAGAAAGGGGAAAAAAGCAGGGATGCAATACGAATGGAGAGACTTGTCAGTGTAGATCTGAGTCAGGGATAGACACATCTGCAGTGCCTTCTAGATAGCCAATGAATGTGATCTCAATGTCAGGGGTGAAGGATAGGAAGTAGGATTTATCTTTAGTTAGTAAGGCCTATTTCAGAGGGTAGCAGACAATAATGCAGTGCTGGTGCACAGTCAGTGCTCAATAAAATTTATTTTAATTACTGAATGCTTTCCAAAGATTATGGTAACTAGATTCCTGGCAGATTTTTTTTTCCCTTACAACAATATTTTAAGTAAAGCCTTTGAAAATACATTTGTTTTAACTAAGTTGAACATTATACTGGAGAACTCTTGCTCATAAGGTCTGCCTGTGGTATGGCTTTTAAGTTCTTAATGTTTCTTTACATTCTTAACCATATGTAAGGATTATTGTGTTTTAGATGTAATTTATAACTATATTATATTAATATTAAATGTTAT